CCCTTATTTGGTACTCTGGCCATGTTTAAGTCTGTCTAGGCAGGCCAAAAATCTAAATAAATAACATAAACAATTCTAGAAGATCTAAGATGTCTTTATCCGTCCTGATGCACTGAGCCACAATAGTGAATATTTCATTTTGCACATCAAACAATATTCCCAGTTCTGTGGCAAGTGAAAATATTTGGTAGCCCAATCTACAGAAGTAGGAATTCTGTGTTGATGAATGTTAGATATTTGCATAAGATCTAAATGATGGAACTTCAACTCGCTAGAATCAATTGGATTTACTAATGTTTGTAATTATCTATTTCTTAGAAACAATTGATATTCTGCTTTTCAGTTCATACAAGCATTGAAGGCTGTCAACAATGGGTAACAAAAGACAGGCATTCAAGTTAGCCACATAATGCTTCAGTTCACAATGGATAACTTTATAGCTGAATTAACTCATTCTCCAGATTTGCACATACACTAATCAGAGGCTGAGTTCACACATCACTGGCCCCAAAAAGGTGAACAAACAAAGGTTAAAACTAACAAGCTTAGCATATTGTGTGAGTGCAGTCACTGGATCTAACAGACCTGGTTAAGGACACATTGCTATGCAATCACAGCCTTTCCCTCTGTCTCACTCTCTTTTCTCCTAACCAAATGATCAGTGGACTAAGCTGAACAATAGCCTAAACAGAAAGGTGATAAAAAAATGGCAGAAGACCCAAATGTTTCAACACATCTGGGGATCATCAAGTTGGGAAGGCAATTCTACAAGTTGAATCAGGGCAGGATAACCTGAGCTGAGTTTATAATGGTTCTTTTATCACATCAGATTTGCCCAGGATACAAGAGATAGATCAGAATGGTTAAAACAGAAGCAGAAGACAAAGAAAGGACTGGACAATAATCCACTTTACGAGGATCAGAGAAGCATGGATTAAAGAGTACTATTCAACACTTTTTCTACTTTCAATAAGCTCAAGATAGAATCTTTATGATTCTGTCCTAGATTTTTGGGGAAAAAAGCCTTATTACTCTGATTTGTATTTCTAAAGGACTACAGGTAGCATATTTTGGAGTTCATTCCCTACAAAACTGCAATTGTACCCTTCAACGCTCAAAGTTGAACACTTGCAATGCCTTCAGAGATATTCTGAGGAATTAACTTTAATACTCAAAGGCTGTGCTCACATACATGCTAAAGCCTACATCTGGATTAACAAAACACAATTCCTATGCTCACATAGCATGCAATGCTGGAGAAACCAACCATCTGATGGTTTTATGTGATGGTCTGGTTCATACAATATGCTCAGTCAATAGCTGGGCTCCCCAGAATGCACTCAAACCACAAACGACACAATCTCATTTTAAGCTAGTGTATCCTACTGTGTGTATCAAGCTATAGAGGGAGATCCCAACCTTGTAAGGAGGCTGGATTTTCTCTCATGGTTGTGGAGATTCCTTTTACCACTTCCTTTTTCCCAGGATGAAGATTAAAAAGTGCAGAAGAGTACAATGATGACAAACATAATCAAGGGAATGAAGAAGTAGGGCTATGGTTAGGTTACCTCCTGTTATCACTCCAAGAAAAGAGCACTAGGACACTAGATGTCCTCATATTCCAGTGTTTACAGTATACAAATGGTGCCTCTTTTGATTCTCTCAACTAACCTGGAAAAATAGATTGTGAAAGAATGACTTACATTGACCCAAAAAACTTCAAGGAGAGGCAGAGAGATGAAATTAAACCACCTGATCCCCTACTTCATCTCCATCCCTGACACTTGCATTTTAAATGACATGTTCAAGGAGAGAGTGACTTACCTCACAAATGTCCTTCAGATGTTTGATATAGTGGCGCTCCGTACTCATGATTTCGTTAATGACATTGGCTCTCATCTGGTCTCGGTTCTGGAGGGTTCTCCCGAGACACAGGCAGTCAGCAGCATTTGGATCCAGGTGTCCATTCTGTACTTCACTCGTGCCTTCTTCGACGCCATCTTCTTGGTTGACCCAGAGCTGTAACAAAAGGCAATGTCAGCCCATTACATTGGTTTTCCAGTGCCTGGCCATGCCAATCTTTTTCTCTTATATCCTAATTATTCAAGTTGGAATTTGATCCTCAGCCAGTTTAAAGGACTGAAGGCTATTATTTAGCCAACATGATCTGAGAACTAAAGAAATCCAGGATATTGTGGATACTGGGTAAAGAGTTATCAAACTTTATACATCCTCTATTCCATTGGGCCAGCCTGCACAATTTCCACTGGCCAGTCAACTCGCAGAACAATAGGAAAAGACTTTGGTTTTAGTGAATTTAGTGAATATGATTCCTATGTTCAGATATGAATGCAATAAAAAGGAAAGTAAATTCAGCAGAGCCTACCCTTTAATTTATAAACATTAGAGCTCATAGTGAGATTCTGTCCTTGACTGGTCAGAAATGAGCCACTCACTTCAATGGAGTTTATTCCTAGGAAAATGCAACCCCAGTTCTTTTAGTCTTGTTCATCCCACTCCAACATTTGATTTTTCTCCCAATCTTGCCAACTCCTGTTTCCTTCCTCCACAATTCTTAAAAAATGAGCCAGAAGGATTGCTCTGAAAATACCCAACAATTTTAAGTTCAAACCTCAGGAGGGACTAAGAAAACATAAAAACACTCTCCTGCGTTCGGTTCTAAATACATAGCCTGGCATGACTGCTCTTCAAAGAGCAAACTTCCTTTCCACCATGAGTGAAAATAATGCAGCAAATATTCAACCTTCTTTCATTTGCATTCAGTGTTCAAGTCACAAGAAGCATAAATTACACTCTGCATTGAAATGTATGTTAACAGGTGTTCAATTTTCATAGCTCAACTTATTGTTAAATATATAGCTGCTGATGCATTGTTTCTAACACGTACCTTAGGAACGGTTACGGTCCTTTTAATTTGCAAAAATTTCCATCGGTCTTCTTTTTCTACAATGTATGTTCTCTGCTTTTCCAACTGCTAATTTTATTTTGCTAAACAACATTCCTTTTATTACTGCACTGGTAGTTCCTCTTCCTACAGAGATCATTAAAGGTCAAGAATTTGGAGATCACAGAGACAACCCACCGATTTTTCTGACAATCGATTTAAAGGTACAGTGAACATTACAAAGCTTCTTTGCAAAATGAAGTGGAAAAATTACAAGATGGCCCTTTTAAGACCAGACATCAGTTAAAAAAAAAAAAAAGGAAAAAGATGAAATCAGAAATGATTGCTGGATTCACGTAATAAACCTATTTACCATTGCTATACTGATTCTTTTCATGTTTTTTACGATATGCTTAAAACATTTTCAGTACACGCTAAAAAGTAATGTGAGAAGCAATTATTTCAGTGGGTTTGGGGAATGGCTTTAACCAGTTTAAAGTCCTTCCTTCCCAGTCTGAGCTTCAAAAAATAAACCAAAAATGTTTTGCCTTTCCAAAAAATTAACATTGCTCACACTGGCTTATTGTAACCATGAAAATCCAGCAATTCAAAAGAAGAAATAAAATATGAAAATGAAAATGGGACAGAGGTGTGGCAGAAAACACATTCTAAAATTAACTCATTGGAATCCTCTGCCTGGCAGAACTGTAGTTCATTGAATAAGGCACAATTAGCAGGGATCATACATCATGTCAAACTGTAAAACATGGCAGACAAACCTCCATGGTTGTGTTCAGAGAATCTCCTGAACCGGTGTTTCTCAGCCTGGGCTGCTTCCAGATGTGTAGACCTCAATTTCCAGAATCCTCTAGTTCAGTGATGGTGAACCTATGACCCACGCCTACATAGCGCCACACATAATTGGACTGTATTTTTTAAAAAATAAATGAATATGTAAAGAATTGTTTCTCTTTTGTTCAGGTGCGGGGGGGGGACACACCAGCAGAGTCAAGTTGGGCATTTTCCGAATTTCTGACATGCCGAGCCCAAAGGGATCACCATCACTGCTCTAGTTTCTAGAATCCTCCTGAGAATTCTTGGAGTTGAAGACCAGTCATCTGAAAGTTAGCTGGCCTGGAAAACACATTGCTCTAAACCAGGGTTTCTCAATCTTGGCAACTTTAAGATGTGTGGACTTCAAGTCTCAGAATTCCCCAGTGAGCATATGGTGGCTGGAGAATTCTGGAGCTGAAGTCCACACATCTTAAAGTTGCTAAGGTTGAGAAACCCTGCTCTAAACCAACCAAATCACAATAAGGCAAAAGCTGTAGCTCCTACTCCAAGTTTGGTATCTCAATCTAAGTAACTTGACCCAGTCCACAGAAGAGCACATTTATCATCTAGATCTCTATCTTCCTGCCTAGAATGTGAGCGCTGGTGTGTTTTGAGCTTCCTGGGCCTAGAGTCACATTGTGGACGAAGCTTTATGAAGCCTTTCTTAAGTTCCAAGATGTTGCTGGACTATGATACTTCTCAGTCACACTCAGCTGGTTTGAATAAAATAGGTGCAGTAATTCAGCAACATCCAGGTACCAAAGTTTTTAAAATAATAATTATTTGATAGTGGAAAATGCAAATCAACTGGAAGTTCCGGTTACGAAAAGTCAACATGCACAATGAAAAAAACAGGACTAAGATTAAATTCAAAGAAGACCAAACTAATGACAATGGGTCCAGCAACCAGTCTTAGAATTGACAATCATGATATTGAAGTGGTGGACAGCTTCTGTCTTTCAGAATTGACTATCAATAGTCAAGGAACCAGCAGTCAAAAAATATGTCACAGACCAGCACTTGGCAAAATAGCCATAAAGGTCTTGGGAAAGTTCTTCAGATGCCTACGAAGATCAGAATTGTGTAGGCAATTATCATATTCTGAACACCTACTGTAGCTCTCTTGAGAAGTCTGTAATGCTGGGAAAGGTAGAAGGAAAGAAGAGGGCAACCAGCAGCAAGGAGGATGGACTCAATTACAGCAGTGATGGGTGCACTATTGGGAAACCTAAAAGGCCAGACTGGGGATAGAGCATCCTGGAGAAAAACTATCCATATGTTTGCGAAGAGTTGACACCAACATGACAGCACTTAATCAGTCAATCAACCTGCCCACAGAGCATAACTCAAGCAAATTCATCTTGGAGTACACAGTTCTATTTCACTTCTGGAGTAACTGAACAAATCCAAACGCAATACAAAAATATGGTGGAACAGTTGGTCCTCTGATGAGACTCATTTAAGGAAAGAAAGCCAAAGTGGTAGATCATACAAACACTCTTCAAGCAACTTCTTCTCTGGCCCATTCACAGCAACATGGGCCAATGAAGGGTTAACATGTTATGGGGACTCCAAAAATAGAACCAGCCAAGTAACCCACAGGGGGTTCCATTAAGCCCCCAATAGATCCAGTTATGTGCAGGGTTAAACTAATTCCACAGAATTATGTTGCTAGACTGAAATCTAATCAACTGAGAAGTTCTCCCCCACTGAAGCTGGAAAAAAAAGATTAAACAGACAAATATGACTTGCATGAGCAAGAAATACACCTGGTACCTGTTGGGAATATCTTAATATTATTCCTAAATATATTATTACGCACCTTTTCCAGGGATCATGTGGAAGCTATAAAAGGCAGTTGTGTGAACCCACAAAACAATGCAACTGCTTTAAGTGTTTGTGACCTTGCACATACTCTGAATCGCATTTCTCCCTTCAAATCTGACACACTGCTCAGCCCTATGAAAGAAGGGCTGAGAAAGTAACCTCTCTATTCCAGAACTCACCAGCGAGGCCACACAGCACAGAACACACCTCCCAAACACTGATTGGCTGTAGTGGCTGTCTGTCTCACAGATGGAGAAGGGACCAGTGATAGGTTGGGTGGCAGGTTGAAGTGCCTGGCTGAAGAAAAGTGGGTGGACCTGTGCTAAGGTCATGTTTTTTTAGGGAAGGCAGGGGACTCAGTACAAGGCCACAAGCACATAGGCAAAAGTGGAGGAAATGCTGGAATGGCACGTATGTGTCCTGGCTACAGGATATAAAAAGAGGCAGGAGAAGCAAAGAAGCGGGGGGGTGTTGTATTGCAGACACTGCAGGACATGCTGCTGGAGAGGACATCACCTGGGAAACATGGAGGGAAGTAGAACCTGCAAGTCCAGAGATTCCAGTCCTGAGACCAGGAAGAAGACCAAGAACACATGGAGAGAATCCAGGAGAACAGACTGGGTTGCGTTTAAGGAGTTTCAGATCCTGGACAGTGGAACTGCGGGAGTGCAAGGCTTTGTTTGGCAGCGAGCCAGCCAGGAGAACTCACAGGCATCCCCTTATCAGCTGCTGAGATAAGGAGGGACGAGAGAAGCCGAAATACAGAGCATGAGTGAAAATGAGGGAAAGAGAACGGAGAGGTTGAAAGAGAGAGAGAGAGAGAGAGAGAGAGAGAGAGAGAGAGAGAGAGAGAGAGAGAGAGAGCACTCAAACATGCTAGGTTTTGTAAATGATATTTTCACTTGTACATATTAGCACACACTATTATATTTGGGTATATCTTAGTGTATAGAATAAACTCCCTCACTTGTTTAAGTGTCTGTGTGTGTGTGTGTGTGTGTGTGTGTATTGTATCAGCTCCTATCCTGACCCACCCTCCAACGTGTTGAAGTCTTGATCGTATTCTTGGGGTACAAGGTCTCATGGAACCCTGCTCACTTCTTGGAGACAGTGGATGAGGACCCTGGATTCCTCAAGAGACCCTTCTTTACCACACTGGCATGACTGCATCTGCCAGAACTATCAATAAGGAGATTTAACTAGGTTTGGGTTGGAGGAGATAAGCCAGTTGTGGGTCAAGGAGTGTGTGCTCCGGAGAATAATTGCTCCTGGCAGAGATGAAGTTTGAGAATTATTGCCATCTATGGGAATATGGACCCTTACCAGATTTGGTTGGAGTGGATTTCCTAGTTGAAGGCTATGCCAGATTTGCACTAGAGCAACCTGGAGCTCAGGTAAAACAAGCAGCCCGTCCTAAATAAACCCCCCCCCAGAATGATGTCCTTGTTATCTC